CTCCCGCTTTAAGGGCGGTGGTCGCCACGCCGCGTCCTGTTCAATATGGGACTCATAGCGACGTATACAACGCGTGTAAAATACATTGTTTGTTCACATGAAATTCGAACACGCGCTGCGCGACGACCACTGCCCTTTAAGATCTGAAACAAATAACATATTGCAAATTTTGATAGAATAGTCCCAACACGCAATTAATTGGCCACCGTGATCTCGTAGAGAGCGAGAGAGCATCGGTACTTGTTTTTGCTCCTCAAATAGTGTCCACTTCTCTTTCGTTACAGCGTCCTCTGTTACCACGGTTACATAGATCAGAGCAAGTTTCGCGTATCCCACTCCCCACGAGACATCGGCGGCCTTTTTTTTATCTAAGGTGTACTGATGTTTGTTAGAAAATATATTCTTGGAAGTCGGAAAACAGCAAAATACAAACACTTCATCCAACAGTAATTATCGGTAACTATATCAATACTGTATTACCATGGAAACAATATTTGCTATGTTGAACATTGTTGCTAGCCAACACTATTTTGGCATCTGTATTTGTAATTTCACAATTGTCCTAGATTGTTAGAATCAGGTGACTACGCCCACCCACGGTTACTAGAAGAAGTAACCGTGGCCCACCTAACGCTCACTGCGTCGAGAAAACAACTCGTCGCGCATTCTCACGGAAATCATAACGGTCATTGATGACTTTATTAACAAGCTAACAGAATGAATACATCAAATATCCACCAGTATTGTAAATGACAACGATGTACAATTACTTAATTTCGAGGCGGATCTATGTCACAGAACGTTCCACGTTGCTAAGTCGCGCACCACTGTACCATGCATTTCTATGAGCTCTGCGCAAACTGCTGGGGAATGCCGGTCGAAGAGCCGGTGAAAAAAGTTAAAGACGAGGAAACAGCACAAACTTAACTTTGAAGTAATCACGTACAACTAAATTGATATATGTTGCATATATATGGGTATCTTGTGACACCGTCCAGGAAACTCTCAAGAACTATCCGAAAGTACAGTTTTCGCGCTTTGTTTTTACCGTGATGGTTGCCAGGCGGTGAAAATGTCTGGATGTCCGCCCCGAGTATATCTATTTTGACAAGTCATTCTTGTACATAATAAGCCTGATGCATTATTGCAACACACACATAGTTACACCACACGTCAATAACATGCGAGGCACATTGCCCATTCAATACTATTGACATGGACTATTGAATTGGACCTCCCTAATAAAACACTCTGTACAGGACCACAGCTGTCACTCAGCATAACAGTTCTATAACAAATTGTATTGGGAGATTAATTCCATTGTTGATTTGATCGTTTTGCGTGGATTTATTATTAGAAAATTGCACGTTCTTAAAAAATGACTTATTATTTTGCGTCAATAAAAAATACTTATTATTTTGTCGTAAATTAAATAAATGATAATTTCTGAACGTTAAAAGCGTTTTTAAATCAGTGTGTTTTGGAATTGTACGTTTTGTAATATTGCACTTTAAATAAGTGAGGATGCCTTCCCGCGGAATGAAATAAGCTGACTGCCACATGAAATCGTACAGTGGTCGCGATGTCCATCAACGATGTGCCATGAATAAACAACATATTCATTTGGGGGGAAAATAAAGCTACAAATATAATCTAAATGATGTTGTCATGGTTATGTGGCCAGTACCATCTCTTCCATGTACTCATTCATCGACTGCCGTGAAAATAAAACGAATAATAATCCGTCAACCAGATGTCGCGCCTTTTTATGTAGTGGCTGATTTGTGTCATATTTTACCGCGTTCCGTTGGAATATAACGGCAGTGGTTGACCCTCCTGTATCTAGATCTTCGTTCTTCAACTCTAAATGCCTAAGACGAAGGTAAGTTGCATACAGACTAATGATGATTTTTTGATCATTTTAGCTACTCATCACATCTCACGTAAATATATCTACATAGTTAGCATACTACAACACTCTGTATAATATATATTGCCGTAGCAGCACGTAATTTTGACAATTACATTTGATTGGTCACCATCGAAAGAACGGCATTTCGTCGTATATACGTATAGAATTGAGCGTTAGTAGAATTCAATGGAATTAAGAGAAATATCTTGTGGGTGCGCTAGGACAAAGCTGTTAGTGGCCCTCGCATTTTCAAAATAGTTTTGCCTGCCGCGATTGTGGTTATTATTCGAAACTGTATTTTGTAAGATACGAGGCCCAGGTTTTAAACAACACACACAATAAGACGATGTACAATGGAAGTTTGCCAGGAGTCAAGTCCAGTGAATGTCAATGTACACAATACGCACCGACATGCAATCAACTGAACTATCCGTAGCTGTCCCGTGGTCGCTCTGCTAAGAACACAAGGAACGGCACGCTATTGACTTAACGCAATATCGACGAATTATTTCAAAGCATATACACTTTATAACATTATTTTCAAACGTACAAGAATGTGGCCGTTACCGCATATACGTCACTGAAAATGCTATTGTTTCATCGAACGGATGTCCATTTGTGTGTTGCCAAGAACAGTGCTCCAAGTTCACGACAAATAGTAATCCAATGTATTTATTAAATTAAATAAAATATGAAACAATATTATTACAAATTAAATGTTCTCATATTTTAAATTACATTCACATCATTTTAACTGTAGTGGCCCGTCTCAGAGGGCAGCTTCAATGACAGAATTGAAAACTCGGACTCGAACAAATAGACGTGTAATAATTTCCTTGCGGTAAATGTTAATTCACAAATGTTACAATACATGAACACGTGGTCAATCATTGTCTGCCTGGAGTGACAGCTGTCGTTGTACTAGGTCAGCATTACAATGACCGAGTGTTAGTGAAGTACAGAAATACATGCAAAAAATATGTTTTTTTGCTAGGAATTTCTTTCGTTTTGCAAACTGTTATTGACGTGTGACGGGATTCCTTAATATAATTGTGGTATATTTGTTCACGATATGTATAATTAGGTGTCGATTCCGTGGTACGCAAAGAGGTATCATCCCCACAACTCAGCGACAACCCTACTTGACAACAACACATCTGCGTCACGGTAGCGTCGCGAGACCTGTGCCATCACCTTTGAGTTTTGCATTCTTTTATTATCTCTTAACGAGGGATAAGAGTAGTTAGAGACTTAACTGTGTACGAAAGGTTATGTCGAGCGCCACCACGTGTCAATATTTCACAAGTATCACTTCTTTGTATTCATATTGCCCAATGAAAGTATAATTATTTTACGACATTTTGAAGTAAATTACAAGCTCGGCCCTTTGTTCTTTTAGATTCGTACCTTGGTCCGTGGGGTTTTGCGCTTCACTCCCTCTATTACCATCAGTATGTTGTGGACATCAGTGGTGGCGTGTAAGATTTTCTTTTGGATGATCAGATGTTATTTTCTTCTCTATTCGATAAGGTCACTTTTCACCCACTTGACCTACATTTTGTTGTAATGACAAATGTATTTCTGTTCGGGTCAAGATAGATTTAAATTAACTGAATTTTGGTTCATGTGGTATTTAAATCCGATTACGTCATCCTACGCGATAATTTAAATAATGCTCAAAATATGCAGATTTCACCTCTACATGACAAGTAAATGTTTGATCTGAAACACTGCTAAATATCCACTAGATGGCATTTGTGAGCGTCAAAAAAACTTACCTGGAACGATTCTACAATCTGACATACTCGGACAAGTGATCACATGCACGAGAAAGCCGGACCCTGTATTAATTAAGCGGGGTGTTTGTGATTTGTTCCTATTTTTTGTTTTTGCTCATGATTTGTTATTATTATTATTATTATTATTATTATTATTATTATTATTATTATTATTATTATTATTATTATTATTATTATTATTATTATTTTTTTATTTTTTTTTATTATTTTTTTTATTTATTATTATTCATTATTTCTACAACACTTTGTGTGATTGTATCATATTAGGGAATAGATAAATATGTATAATAATCGACTATCATGGCATTTTCTACCAATCGTAGAATCAACATGAATGGCGACGCTCAATTTAAGTCATTCATGGCGAGCACCCTCACCGGTCTAGGGATGACGATGGAAAAGCTGGACAAAGAGCAGAAGATTATCAAGGACCGTCTTGCAGCTATTGAGCTAAAACAAAAAGACCTAAAGCGATCTTTACAATCTTGCGAAGAAATGGCGGAATTAGAAAATAATCACGAACATGCCCATAAATGGATCGTCAATTTAGAAATCAGAGTGAAGCAACTGGAGGCTCAGATTCGTGCGAGTCAGGAGAGGGCGCTGCTTTTACGAAACAGTTATTCCAACGGCTATAGGCTGAGATTCAGTCGCATTCACTTGCAACCTGGTCTCAATTGTGTTAATGTGATATCGGACCAGCTTCGGGAAAGACTTGGTTTTCCGAATCCCAGTGATATGATTGAAAGCACCATAAGGGTGGAGCCTGATATCTGCCATCGGGTGGCGTCCGCTAAGAATCCGGCTCTCATTGTTGTCAAGTTCATCGGTCGATCTGATCGTCTTGTCGTGTTGAGGAAGAAGAAAATCGCCGTGAAACAGGAAAGCACATTCGCAATGGAGGAGTTCTGCCAGGAAGAGAACAAACGGAAGCGAGAATTGCGACAGGCTATCGAAGAGGCGTACATACACGGAAAACGGCCGTGCTTCACAAACGGTAAATTGTATATAAACGGCGAATTATATAACTAAACAACCCACCACTGACCGTGAAAACACTGAAGTAGTGCCAAGTTGTATGCATTTAAACAACTTGAAAACAACTTAATATTCATTTTTAGGAAGGTTGAATCTTCCGCATGACCACATCTCACAGACCCTGAAGCCTCGTCAATTTATTTGTTTATGTTACAGAGGAACACAACGAAAAAAGAATACTATATTTCCGGACATGAACGAGAAAGCCCAATTGCCGATGTAATTGAATCCACCCTCTACAGTACCTATAAAACATTCTCAATTAGGCGTCATGAAACGATGGCGCAATACACGAGACAGTGATTATATATTTGGGATACTTGACAACAGCTGTTAACATTCTACTTCAGTATTCGAGACATTCCCGTTGCTTTGTGGGAGCCTGCAACGTTCTAAGACAATACAGTAATAACAATGGGGGCTTGTCACTGAGCACAATGCAGGATTGAATATATAAACGAGGTTATGCAAATTTATAATTATGCCGGTATTTCCAAAAAAAGAAACAGTTTAAAATCAATGTTAATATATTCGTTGGGTACGCATAGCACTGTTCAGTCACATAAAAAGTTATTATAGAAGCTACGAAATTCTCTTATTTATTATATATATCATTAAGATGTGTTGTACTATTTTGTGGTATACTGGCTACGACAAGGGTTCATTAATAAGGGCACGGTGC